CAGCAGCAGCAGACGCTGCAGCTCCTGCACCTGTCGCTCTAGCTTCTCCTCCTGCAGTTGTGGCTGCAGCTGCTGCTGCCGCTGCTGCTTCTGCTTCTCAAGCTCCTATTCCTGAACCTCTTATTGATCCTGCACCTGTAGTTTCTCCTCCTGCACCTGCTGTAATTTCTCCTGCAGCTGCTATTACTCAACCTGCAGCTGCTGTTATTCCTCAACCTGCAGCTGCTATTCCTACTCCTGCACCTGCTGTTATTCCTCAACCTGCAGCTGTAATTTCTCCTCCTGCACCTGCTGTTATTCCTCAACCTGCAGCTGTTATTCCTCAATCTGCAGCTGTCACTTCTCCACCAGCAGCTGTAATGTCCCCTCCTCTCGCTGCTATCCCTCCCTCTGTAGCTCCAACTATCGCTGCTGCTGCTGCTGCTGGTCAGGCTGCTGCTCCAGCTGCCGGTAAGTACACTGCTCCGACATTCCTTATTCCTATGCACAATAAACAATTACACATTTTTATTACTTTCCTTTCAGGGTTATCTCCTTTCGGATCTCCTTACAGGGTTATATAGGGTTATAAATATTTTGTAACATTCTTATTCCGTCATGCAATGCACATCTTTATCACATTCAACTCACTTCATTAACTATGCCGTATATGCCGTAAGATCTTTATTTCATTATCCATACACTTGTTTATTCCATTATTTATATTAATTCTAAAATACATAATCATTACGTACTCAATATACATGTTTATTACATGCCGTTTAAGGTCATTATACCTATGCCATAAAAGAACAACATAGTGGATCACTTCATCGGCAAAACAAAAGCTCATTGTAAAGAGTATTTCTTGTCAGAGTAATTAATTATTCTTTGAAGGGCTGGTCGTTAGAGTTTCTCTGAGAGTTGATTTGTAGAAATCACGCGTTGACTTCGATATTCCCTGGAATTTTACTTATACAGGGTGAACCAGAATTAACTGACCCTTTTAATTTGTTAATAAAAAAAAAAACTAAGAACGTTATGAAGTTGAAACTTGTTTTATTTAAAAGAACATTTTTATGGTAATATTGTATCCTAGTTTTTAGGGTACAATGACTAACTTGGATACAATATTACATACAATATTTTAGCTAATACATATTATTAATACGTAATAAATATTTTAACTAATAGAATAATAAAATATTGTAATAGGATACAATATTTTAACTAGGATACAATA